AAAAAAGACAAAACAAGAGGGCCTGTCCGTGTTGATTGGAAAATAAGGTTATAAGTAAGAAGTAAGGTATGTGATCGTGGGGTAGGTTGGCTTAATATGGCAAACAGTAACGGGGGAATGTGATATGGGGAACGAGCGGTTGGGAGGAAGCTAGCGACGGAGGCTATAATAAAAACAAACAACGAACGAGATGGATGGAGCCGAACGAACGAGAAGAAAGAAGGGGGAAGAAGAAGACAGGATGGCCTACTGAGGATGGGCAACCATATAGATTCCAGAATAAGTTCTGGAGGTGAGGAGAGGGGGCTATGGACAAGTGTGGGGTGTGAAGGCTGGAGTGTGATGCAGGAGTGAATAGTGGGGGTGTCAGCGAGCTCGTTGTTCCCCAGGGAAAAGGGGAGGCCTATAACAGGCACGAAAGGAAGCACACAGTGCGGGGGGGAAGAAGCTGGGTCAACGAATGTTTAACGAATTAACGAATTAACGAACGAAACCGCACAGGCCTACTGTGCACATATCCATTTTGAAAAAGGGGCTATGGCTGGTTTGGCTGGTTCAGCTCGTTTGCCCAGCCATAACAGCACAGGCACAGTCACCATTTTCTAATCAGCTACAACAGACCACGTGGCTGCCAAAAACAGCTGCCTTCAGTTTCTTTTGGCTACATGAGAGGGAGGAAGGTTTCCCTGTGATGCTGTGAGACTTGCTGCCTGCCTAAGCCAATCAGAAGAAGAAAGCTGCCCAAGTGCTCCGTGTTCTATCTATCTCAGTGCCTTAGCTGCTCTTATGATTTTGCTTTCAGACTCAATTCCAAACTTTTACTTTGGCAATTTTATTTTTGGACTGTAAAAGAGCATTTGGGGGAGAGGATATTTGTTTAAAAATTGGGGTGGTTTACTGAAGATAGGGGATAGCCTGACTTCCTGAAGTCCCCACAGGGAAATTCAATTTTTTCCTCAGGTCTAGCTGAAGAAGATTAAAGGGAAGGACACTATAAGCAGGGTTTTTAAAAGGCTGATGCTTTAATGCTCATTTTGGATGGGGCCTGCCATGTGCCATCACACGACGTATGGCAGGCCCCGCCCACATTCCTCTCAAAGTGGGGTGGAAGTGCTTCCTCCACCACTATGGGGAGGAATGTGTTGTTTAGGTAGCTCTGATGGAGCTACCTGCACTCTCCTCCCCTTATTGCCATGTGAGGGCAGAAAGGGTGCTGGGCAACACACGGCACCATGCATTGCCATCCTTTCTGCCATCTCATGGGGGGGGAGGTAAAGGGTGTCAATGCAGGGAGCAAAGAGGAAGGAGGGGAGCAGGGAGGATGCATAGGGCACTATGAGCCATCCAACACACCTTCCCTTTAGGGGCGCAATGGCACAGCCCGAAAGGGCCATGTGAAGAGGTCCTAGATTGTTGTTGCTGCTGTTGCTATTTGAAAGTTAACCTAAATCAGTGATTCCCAAATTGTGGCCAATGGACCACCAGTGGTCTCCAAGAAGTAAAATATGGTCCGTGACCTCACCATTACTACACCGTTGCAACAAGAGCAACTGGCTTATTAAATATGGTTTTCTGTGGGCATGCAGATGGTGACTACATCTGATGGAATATGTTCTGTATCAGAAACTAGAGCCGATGTGATCTATCCAATGCAATTTTTTGAATCCGCATCTCAAAGAACGAAACCTTGCCCCCTACCAACCCCAGAGATTACTCCGGTGTGAAGACCAAGGTTTGCTTGCAGTCCCTGACATCCGGACTTACCATTTGTCATCTACTAGGCATAGTGCTTTCTCGATCGTGGCCCCTTATTTATGGAATGCCTTGCTGGTTGAAACTCGAACCGTCCGAGACCTACTTGCTTTTCGGAAAGCCTGTAAAACTTTTCTTTTCTGGCAAGCTTTTGACAGGTGAACAACCCGGACTACGCCTGCTCTCACCGCCTATTGTTTTGTTATTGTTATTTTTAAAGCTAATTGTATTGCTTTAACGTGCTTCTGTAAACCACTCCGAGCCAAATTGGAAGTAGCAATATACAAGTTAAATAAATAAAATAAATAAAAATAAATAAAAAGTTGACCAAAAACTGATGAGTAGCCCGTTTGGAAGAGTGGTCTCTGGTTAAAGTGGTTCCTGGTCAAAAAAGAAAAAAGGTTGGGAACCACTGACCTAAATCAACAAAGAAAAAAGTATGCTAACATCACCATGTGTTTTTCAGGTTTTTTTCTGTGTATTTGGGATACTGAAGCCTTCCCAAAGATCCTTGTCCTATAGAACTGATGAAACGTTTATAAGTGCCTTAAACAAAAAATGCATATGGCTCCCTCATTGTTTACATTGAATACAATGAAGGAAGGAAGATGGCAGCTTTGAACCTTTCCAATAAATTTAAATATAAATGTCATTATATTCATTCTTTTCAGAAATCAAAGCTCTGCAGGAGTTCTCTATCCATCTGAAAGAGAGATTTAGAATTAACCAAGAAACAGAAATCAGCCATTATTTTTGAACTTTAGGAAAAATAAGAAAGCTATCTTCAAACCATTGTCTTTAATAGAAAATAGGAAAACCAGTTCGGTTGTCAATATTATGTACAAATGCAGCTCGAATAAAGAAAATACAAAAGAACAGTGGAAATCATCAGTCTTTCCCCCACCTACTATTATTTTCATGAAAGAGGCTGAAAGATCTCAGAAACATTTTACCATCTTCTGAGGATTTAGTTTGTCTCCAATCTGCAGAGCTTTCCAAGGCATTTTGGTACTTTAGACAAAAAATAAGTAGCTTATTTATGATGACACATAAAAGGATTGTGTCTGAACTTTTAATTGTACCCAAAAATCAGTAAGGCAGCCTCATCAAAATCAGAAATATTCCCATGTATCTATCCAGATGTCAATTGCCAATCAAAAGGGAAGACAGAAAGCATTTTCTAACCATTCCTTTTCATTAGCTGCTCTCTTTTGTTCTGCTCAGGCCTAAAGAGGATAATATAGCATTTGGGGAAAAAGATAAAACCTAGTAACCCAGCACTGGAAGCCAAGATGGAGAAGATCTCCACAGCCACCATGTATTTGCCTTTGGTGGAAAGGTAGGTTGGAACAAAGGTTAGCCAGACACTGCAAAACAGCAACATGCTGAAGGTGATAAACTTGGCTTCATTAAATCTGTTAGGTAACTTCCTTGCCAGGAAGGCCACAGTCAAGCTGATAATAGCCAGGAAGCCCATAAAACCCAGGACACAACAAAGCATCATTCCAGATCCTTCATTGCATTCCAAGACATTATTCTGAGTATGTGGTTCTGTGTCAGAGTCTGGAAATGGTGGTGAGGTTGCCAGCCACAGTGTACAGATCATGGCTTGAGTAAGAGAGCTTGAAAGGACAATGGATGTGGCCAACCTTTTTCCCATCCATTTATTCATTTTGGATCCTGGCTTATTGGCCATGAAGGCTATCACAACAGTGGCGGTTTTGGCCAACAAGCAAGAAATAACCACGGAGAAGACAATTCCAAAAGCTGTTTGTCGGAGGAGACAGGTCATCTTCTGGGGTCGGCCAATGAATAACAAAGTGCAGAGGAAGGAGAGCAGGAGGGAGATGAGAAGGGTGTAGGAGAGCATCCGATTGTTCACTTTCACAATGGGTGAGTTGTGGTACTTCACAAAGACTGATAACACCAAAGTGGTAATGAAAGAGAGGGCAACAGCAGAAGTTGTCAAACCCATTCCCAAAGGTTCCTCATAAGACAAGAATGTTATAACTTTTTGAATGCAAAGGTCATGGTTCTTGTTTGGATAATAGCCCTCTTGACATGGAAAACATCTGTTTGTGTCTGGAAAAAATAAATGTGAATTTAGGTGAAATTTACATGCTTGTTTGTTACATAGTGAGTAGTCCTATAAAGCAAGACTTGGGTTTGCATAGTTTTAAATAAAGTTCTTTTGGAGGTATGTTAATACTAGGGCTGGGCAACCACGGAAAAATGTGTTTCTAAACTCGATTCGTTTTTAGGGGGTTTTTGCGTTTCGATTTTTAAAAGAATTCTGAAATTTTCCTTAAAAAAAGTTCGAAATTTACGAAATTTTGGAAATTACGAAACAATTACGAAACAATTACGAATCGATTTGTTAATGGCGGACACGATCGCGCAATACGCTAAAAAAAACCTCCAAATGAGACAGGGGGAACTTCTGAAGCTTCCCTCTCCCTCTGTTGTTGACTGTTGGTGTGATAATATTTTTTTTTCACTGATAAAACAAACAACAACTATAAAACTTGCACCAGACATGCGGAAATAATAACGAAACGATTTCGAAATGATTTCGAAACGATTTCGAAACAATAACAAAACAATTACGAAACGAATTGAAAAATTCATTTCGTTTTTTAGTTGCTCCTGAATGGTTCAATATCGCTTCGTTATCAAAAAAATAACAAATTAATAACGAATTACGAAATTAACGAACGAAACTGCCCAGCCCTAGTTAATACAAGCATGATTCAGGATCTACTTGTGGCCTATGTCCCTAGTGACTGAGGGAATCTTGGCTCCAGTTACATATGAGTTATAACATGTTGCAGAGGAAGAGTTTATGGCTTGTCCCACTCTCTCAAACACACCAACAGCATACAAATATTGATAGAAAGGAGGATTCCTTAGTCTTACATTTGGGAAGACATCCTCTTTGAGTCCCCTTTGGGAAGATAAATAAGGGTATAAATATACAAATAATAATAATAATAATAATAATAATAATAATAATGATGATGATGATCCCAGTGGTGATCAGCACACTGGGTGCAGTGCCTAAAGATCTTGGCCTGCACTTAAACACAATTGGCACTGACAAAATTACCATCTGACAGCTGCAAAAGGCCACCTCACTGGGATCTGCATGCATTATTCACCGATACATCACATAGTCCTAGACATTTGGGAACTGTCCAACGCGTGATTCAATACAATAGCCAGCAGAGTGATCTTGTTTGCTGTGGACTCATCTTGTTGTGTTTCAAATAATAATAATTTCCAGAAGATCAAACTGTGTGTACTGAAGTGGGTGGAAAGTCGTAAGTGAAGCTTCACTCCCTGGCCACCAATTGTAAAAACACACAAGGAATTTTGCATTCATTGATAGGCCTTCTTCCATCTCAACATTACAAGACTGATATTGTTCTGGCTTCCATCTTGTTTGCACTTGCTGCTGTCTTTCACCCACCCAAATGGCCTACACTCACAACTAACATAATGACTTGAGTTAATTGGCAAAAGCAACACATGCTTTTGTAAATGTAGGAAAATAGCTGTCTATATGATAGCTTGTGGATCAGAATCTTAAGACTTCTCCTCATCAGATTTTAGTATCAGAGATCTGTTAAGAATTTTTTGTGTGTGTCAGGAGCGACTTGAGAGAGTGCAAGTTGCTTCTGATGTGAGAGAATTGACCGTCTGCAAGGATGTTGCCCAGGGACACCCAGATGTTTTTGTTGTTTTAATATCCTTGTGGGAAGCTTCTCTCATGTCTTCACATGGGGAACTAGAGCTGACAGGAGGAGCTCATTCGCGTTCTCCCCGGATTCGAACCTCCAAACTGTCGGTCTTCTGTCCTGCTAGCACAAGGGTTTAACCTATTGTGCCACCAGGGGCTCATGTGTTAAGAATCTGTTTATTTTAGTATATATACTAATAAGCTTTTATGCTGCTCATTTGTGTCAGTATGCATTGTTGTTGTTGTTGTTTATTTATACCTTGCTTTTTCTCTGCACAAAGGAGTCTCAAAGCAGCTAATTGCTGAATCCATGATATCAATTATCCACAGCTTGAAAATATTTTGAAAAATCCAAAAGGCCCGCTTTGATGTTACCATTTTATATAAAGAACACCATTGGATGACCTAAAGATGGTAATGCATGACTAGTAACCTCAAGACTGGACAACTGCAATGCACGTTACATTGGGTTACTTTTGTACCAAATTTGGAAACTCCAAATAGTTCAACAGACAGCAGCCAGACTATTTACATTAACATCTAGGAGTAACACATCACATCCATGTTAAAGTCACTCCGCTGGTTGCCTATTAGTTTCTGAGCAAAGTACAAAGTGCTGGCTTTGGCCTTTAAAGCTATATGTGCTTTTGGTCCAGGTTACCTACAGGATCGCCTTCTCCCATATAATCTGGGGGCATCTACTCTAATCAGGAAGAACCCCACTGGCTACCGTCACCCAGAGGTGACGGTAGCCACCCCAAATCGGCCACCCCAAATCGGTGGAATGACTTGTCTGAAGAGATTCAAAAACTAAATCAGTCGTCAGAATTCAAGATACAACTGAAGAACGATCTTTTCTGGCAGGCCTACCCAGTTGATTTTAATATGTTTGCGCTACAGAAATATGTTTTACTGCATTTTACTGAATGTTTTTATGATGATGTGTTCTGACTATGATGTGCCTTCTTCTTCTTTTACTACACAACTCCATATTGTAGGATTTGAGCACCTATGGATTTTCAACCTAAATCCATCAGATACAAAAGGTTCCACTATAAGTGCAATGGTTCATGGTCTGGTGGAAGTAAGATTTCATTTAGTATTGCTCTGCCTTGAGGTGGAAGTGCTGGAGAAAACTGTCATCTCCTACCTGTCTGGTTGGAAATCTCCCCTTCTGGACATCGAAGGCAATCAAAGCAACATGATGGTCTCCCTTCCTTCTTTACCTTTCTATATCCAGAAGAGCAATGGTCATTACAAAGTGAGCATGGACGTGTCTGTTCATAAATGAAAGATGAGAATATGTCAGCTTTCTGGGAAACATCAGCAATAAGGGATTCGTGTTGTTGAAGGTTTTCATGGTTGGAATCACTGGGTTGCTGTGAGTTTTCCAGACTATATGGTCATATTCCATACAGAGAATGGAAGAGAATGGGTTGTTGTGGGTTTTTTTGGGCTATATGGCCATGTTCTAGAGGCATTCTCTCCTAGGACAGAATGCCTCTAGAACATGGCCTTATAGCCCGAATAAACCCACAACAACCCAGTGATTCTGGCCATGAAAGCCTTTGACAATACAATGGAAGAGAATGCTTCTGAAAGATGGCCATACAACCCAGAAAACTCACAGCAACCCAATAAGTGATTTTCTGCTTGCACAGTTCAAATGCTCAAAATTCTTCTATTTCCCTTCTTCCACTCCCTTCAAACCCAGAATGAGCAAAGTCCAGTGCATGGGCTGCATGTAGCCCTTCAGCATGAAAAAGGGTAAAATGGGAAAATTTGGGCAAATATTTGTTTGTTTATTTATTCACTTTCTATGTCACTTTTTTCTGGACAGACCCAAGGCACCTCACAACATCTTAAAATATACATCATGGATAAAACCATTATCTGAAACCAACAGTAAAAGATCCAGGCATGCTCCACAGCATCCAAATTATCTATATAAGTAAAAATGTAATGTTAGTTTGTGGGATTAACATAACCCAAAAACCACTGGACAAATTGACACTCAATTTGGACACAATACACCTATCAGGCCAACGAAACATAAAAACACTGAAAACCACAGGAGAAGAGACTTAAAAAGTAAAAAAAATATATATATTACAATGCATGCACAAAACCACACACACACACACATATATATATATACACACACACACAAACACATACACACATATACACATATATATATATACACACAGATACACATATATACACACACAAAACACATATACACAGACTGGGCCACAACAACATGTGGCAGGGGATGGCTAGTAAACAGTAAAAGGATAAAAACAAAATCAATTTGGTATGGGAAGGACCATCCTGATCCTGCATGCCATGCAAAGTTTACAGTGAAGGAGTCTCATAAGAGGAAATCTATATAAATAAAAATGTAACGTTCATTTGTGGGATTAACATAACTCAAAAACCACTAGACGAATTGACACCAAATTTGGACACAAAACATATATCAAGCCAACGAATGACCTTCCCTCATAAAAACACTGAAAAACACAGCAGAAGATACTTAAAAAGCCATTTTAAAAAAAGTCCTTCTTTATGACAGTCTTCCTAAACTGAAAATGATGCAATTTTCTAAATTTTCTTATATATAAGTACAATGAATTTCTGACCCATTCCTGAAGACAAAAATATCCAATATTCAAATAATAAGCTCTTTTAAACAGACAAATAAATATATTGTGAACTGTATATCGACCTTGCCTGGTTAAACCTGCTGGGCCATTCAATGGCATCTTCATCAATGGTAAGCAATATGTCTGTGGAGGCCTGTGAAATTACACTCCCAACTTTAACACGAAGGAAAGACATATTTGGGAATGTGACCCAGTTGACAATATCGTACCCACCAACGACTTCTCCATTTTGGTCAAAGGAAACCTCCCCAACACTATTGTTGAATGACAGACTTCTCAGGTAGTGAGGGATCTAAATGGGGGGGAAACATCCACATAAATATATGGACTTTTTGTGATAATCAATTGAGTTGATGGTTAATGGCCCTTTTAAAAAGTTTTTGCCAAACTAATATTATTATTATCATCATTATCATCATAATCATAGGAGCCCCTGGTGGTGCAATGGGTTAAACCCTTGTGCCAGCAGGACTGAAGACTGACAGGTCAGCAGTTCGAATCCATGGAGAGCACAGATGAGCTCCCTCTGTCAGCTCCAGCTCACCATGTGGGGGCATGAGAGAAGCCTCCCACAAGGAAGGTAAAACATCAAAAACATTTGGGCAACATCCCCTGGCTAACGTCCTTGAAGACAACCAATTCTCTCACATCAGAAACGACTTGCAGTTTCTCAAGTTGCTCCTGACACACACAAAAATTATCATCATTATTATCATCAATAATAATAATAATAATATTTAATTTCTTACCCACATCTCATGGTTCAAGGCAGGGAACAACATCTTTAAAAATATATCATCAAAAAACAATGTGTTGTCTAAAGCTTTCATGGCCGGAATCACTGGTTTGCTGTGAATTTTCTGGGCTGTATGCCATGTTCCAGAAGCTACAAGACCATTCAATGCTAATCAAGGTGGCCAACTGCAACATTCACACTTGCCTCAAGCAGACAAGAGTTCTTTCTCCCACCCTGGACATTCCACAGATATATAAACCCCACTTGCCTAGTTTCCAACAGACCTCACAACCTCTGAGGATAACTGCCATAGATGTGGGTGAAACATCAGGAATGAATGCTTCTGGAACATGGTCATACAGCCCAGAAAACTCACAGCAACCCAATCATAAAAAAACATTCAGTAAAATACATATATTAAAACATATAAAATATGCATATCAAAATGTATAGAAAAAAATTAAAATACAGGAAGTGACTTTAAAATATACAGTTTAAAATTGACTGGGTCAGCTTTCTGGAAGAGATAGGTCCAGGGATCCAAAGCATGGAACCATGGTATTTCAAGTAGAACCATAGTGTTATATTAGTACAAACAGCCCACGGTCTACTTCATTATATGCAGCCGATGAAAGGCGCAAAGTCTGAAAGGTACCAAGATTTCTTGGTATAAACAATGGTCAAGGATAATGAGAGCTATAGTCCAAAATACCTTGGGAGTTCCCATTTTTGGAAAGCCAGCTGTGGCTGTTACATTAATGCATGCAATGTCTTTCCCTAAGGACATTACCTGCCAAGACTGCTGGTTTAACATATTTCCTTTCCTTCTAGTCATCACAGTTCTCTTCTTTGATGGAGATGAATGCATGGCTTGGAAAGCATATGTCAGGGCATAGACTGCATTATAAATGGCATAGCTGTGGCCAGTCATGCTCATTTCAAAAACAGAGCTAGGAAGACTCATAAGTTTCTCTTCTCCAGTGCAAATGTTCTCATCCCGTTCATCCAGGGCAGAGGTAGGGAATAAGCAATTAAATGCATCTTGCCAGAAAGCACTAACAAACCCATCTCCTTTTTCTGATGTATGGTTTCTTGTCTCCAGAAACTGTTTGAATCCTAACACCTCCTTAGAAAGAAGAGTCAAGGATAGAGCACCATGGAGGAACTGTATGTCCATGGTCTTTTGAAAGAGAGATGATGTGAAATCTATCTCCCCTGTCATAATCCAAATTTTCCCTTTGTCTCGAATTGGTATGCCTTCGAATTTGAAAAAGTGGTCTACACTTCTCAAATAGGCCATGCTTTGAACTTCACCATAAAAGATCATGACACTGGCTGTGCTGTTGTAGACAAGCTGAAATGTGGCCGTCCAGTCAGTTATTATTTCAGTGATACCATATAAGGCAGCTCTTACTGGTAAATTCACAATGTTCTCAATGCAAATACCATTCTGAGAAAACAATGCAAGTGACTTCATCACACGTATATACACACTCTCAACTTCTTCATAGATCACCCCAATCCATGTCCAGCTAAAATGCAGCAACAACCGGAGAAGCCCCAAGTACTGTTTATTCCCATTTGGGAACATCCAGTGGAAGAAGGCAGCACCATTTTTGTCATTTTGTTCTGGAGCAGAGGAATATGTGAGCTGGAAAAAAGCCAAGAAAGAATACAATGTATGGTTTACAGATATGTCAAACACACAAAAATGTGTATGTGTATGTGCAAGCACACATGCAGCACTAAGACCCAACCCTGGTCACTTTATAAAAGCTTAACAGCATACAAGTGTTTTAACTTGCTGATCTAAAAGGCCAAGGAGGGGACCATCATGGCTTCTGTAGGGAGAGAGTTCCAAAGTCTGGGAGCAACCATTGAGGAGATCCTCTACCTTGTTTCTTCCACACAAGTCTGAAAAAGTGGCAGATCTCTTTTGAGAAGACAAGAGCTCCAATTGCATCATAAAGGAAGATTATGGTCATTCAAATAATCATTGCACTGTATTACTATTGGGGGAGGGGGGCACCCAGTGTGAGGGAAGGTAGGTAGCATGGAGAGGAAACCATGGCTAAACTCCTCCACCTGCCACAACCCAAAATTGCAGGTATACATTTGACTTAAACCTGGATCCATGTTCTAAATGCTATAAGAGATTACAAAATAACATAATGTCAACTTGGATCGGCCCCGGAGTATGATTTAGATTTTGTGATTTTAATTGATGTTGTAATGTTGATGTTTTAATTGTTTTGGATTTTAATGCATGCATTCATTTATCTATATGTATATGTGGCATTGAATTGTTGCCTTTGAAAAGCCGCTCTGAGTCCCCTTTGGGTGAGAAGGGTGAGGTACAAGTGTGGTAAATAAATAAATGCCAAGGAGATTCTCTTACCTGAGCAATTTTGTAGATGCCCAAGATGTCTGCCATATGGAAGCAAATGTTAGAGTTTGGTCCCCCAATGACTACAGGCAAACTGTTTTGCTCATCACATTTGTAGTTAGGGACAAATCTCTCTCTTGTTGAGAGAAGCTTCATTGTGGCTAGATAGGTCCACCTTGGATAAAAATGGTTGTTATAGATATGGAAGCCCACAGTGACATTTGGTAAGATCTGGGGATTCTCGTTTATCTCCTTTACAGCAAAGACCAAGGCCAGGATGTGCTGGTAAAACTGCGTCATTCTTCTGTAATGAGGATAGCAAATCACCTGCTTTAGTATAAAATAGTTACATTGGTGTTCATAATCTGTTTGAGAAAACATTCCATCATGATATAATGTAAAGCCTTATTCAACGAAGGGGTGAGAAATGGCAGTCCATTGCAAAGACCTTCTTGAAACACCATCTAATAATAGGCATTACTTTGGAAGATAGTAGTGAACATGTGTGTAGTAAACCATGATAGTCTTCTGTGATAAAGACCAGAGTCTTGTGATATTTCAAACACTTAACAAGTGTTATTATGTATATTATTTAGTGGACCCAAACTCACACATGGCTCCATAATTACATACATCCTGGAGTATTGAATATGTGAACATTATTAGCCAATTATAATCTTAACATTGACTTTGTTTATTGGTCATTGAGATGAGATACAAACATTCCACATAGATAAGCAGGTTGGTGCTTGGCAGCTAACACATTCACAATTATCAGTGTTCAAAACTACAACCAAATGATTGCTATTCAATGACTCTGAAAAGTGTCAAGATGATATTGTTCCTCCTTATGACTTAGAGAGCTGATTTCTAAAAGGATAACACTGATTTAAAGGTAACCGAAAGGGAAGTAATAACATATGGCTAAAACATTGAAATGCTTACAACTTACAAGATGCAATCAACAGACAGTGGATGAGGCACTTTCCTGAAATCTATTGCTTCATAAACGATGACGAGCTGAGAAAGGACTCCAGGAATGATCAGGTCTCCTGCATGGTAATACTCATGAAGAATGGGTAGAGGCTGACTGGTGGCACATTTAGGAGCAGGAAGAATCTTGCATACGCTCGCTGGGAACAGCACCAAAACCAAGGCCAGAAACATCACGACCTTTGACGAAAATAAGTGACCAGAGAAACAACCCATATATTGCAATACAGTCATCATTCACATTTCTAATACAGCCTGCTGGATAGATTTGATAGTTATTTGGTTGACTGAAAATAATGGAAAATTGAGTTGATAGAACTCTGTAATCAGAAATCTCCTGGTATAGAGGATATGACAAACAATTTCCATACTTATTTCCTAGTTCTGCTACTGGTGTTTAGAATTCCTTAGGGCCCTTAAGAAGAAGTCAACATAATCCTGGGTAATTTGAAAATTGCCAGGTTGGTAGTCACTTGTCAGAAATATAGGCTTTTTGTGATTATTCCAGGCAAAAAACATGTTTCATATACAGCATCAAAGAGCTGAAATTTTACCCACGAACATTTTACTGAGGAAGAATTCTCTTTGTCTGAGTACCTAAAATCCTAACAATTCCAAAGGTGTTACTCTGTGTATGCATGTGTGTCAAAGACCTGAGTGGTTTTTGCATGCCATCAATTTCAGGCAGCCCTTGATTCAGAAGGTCAAAAACAGTGGTTCCCAACCTGTGGGTCCCCAGAGGTTTTGGCCATCAACTTCTAGAAATCCTAGCAGCTGGTAAACTAGCTGGGATTTCTAGGAGTTGTAGGCCAAAACACCTGGGGACCCACAAGTTGAGAACCACTGGTCTATTTTAGTATTTCCAAGTACAATGGAAGACCTCTAGCTCATTCCTTGCCTTTCAAGGTGGGACAGCAGGATTCAAACGTAGTAGACACAGTTTCTTTTTTTTTCTTTTTTCTTTTTAATTGAAGACTCAATATGACATAAAATGTAATCCAAGGAAAAGAAAGAAAAAAATAAAAAAAATTAAATAATTAAAAATAAAATTAAGAAAGGGAAAAGACCAAGGGTTCCTGGGGAGGGGGGAGGAAGTGGGGGGGGGGAGGAATGGAAAAGAAAAGGAAGGGAAAAGAAGAAAGGGGAAGGAAAAAGAAAAAATATGGAGGGGGATTGAAGAGTTTTACCTCCAGTCTTCTCAACTGTGGCTGTCAACTTCTGTTTTTTCCATTTGATCTGTTTAGAACCTGCTTTCTCCTTTTCTGTTTTTTCATGGTGTGACATTATCTGCTTGTAATGCTTCTTAAATATCCACTATCAATGTAATGTTTTATTTATTCATATAATCCTTAATGAGTGACCAGTCCATTGCTTTCCTCTTTTTTGTTTGATTGCTGTTTAACATTTGTGTTAAAAGATCCATATTCATTATACAGAATGGGGGACGCCTGGCTCAAGAGCAGTACATGTGAAAAAGATCTTGGAGTCCTTGTGGACAACAAGTTAAACATGAGCCAACCATGTGATGTGGCGGCAAAAAAGCCAATGGGATTTTGGCCTGCATCAATAGGAGCATAGTGTCTAGATCTAGGGAAGTCATGCTACCCCTCTATTCTTCTTTGGTTAGACCATACCTGGAATATTGTGTCCAATTCTGGGCACCACAATTCAAGAGAGATATTGACAAGCTGGAATGTGTCCAGAGGAGGACGACTAAAATGATGAAGGGTCTGGAGAACAAGCCCTATGAGGAGTGGCTTAAGGAGATGAGCATGTTTAGCCTGAAGAAGAGAAGGCTGAGGGGAGATATGATAGCCATGTATAAATATGTGAGAGGAAGCCACAGGGAGGAGGGAGCAAGCTTGTTTTCTGCTTCCCTGGAGACTAGGACGCGGAACAATGGCTTCAAGCTACAAGAAAGGAGATTCCATCTGAACATGAGGAAGAACTTCCTGACTGTGAGAGCCATTCAGCAGTGGAACTCTCTGCCCTGGAGTGTGGTGGAGGCTCCTTTTTGGGAAGCTTTTAAACAGAGGCTGGATGGCCATCTGTCAGGGGTGATTTGAATACAATATTCCTACTTCTTGGCAGGGGGTTGGACTGGATGGCCCATGAGGTCTCTTCCAACTCTTTGATTCGATGATTCTATGATTCTATAGCTTTCACCAGAGCTAGATTTGAGCAACTTAATTCAATGGTAAGAACATGACAATTTCAAAAAATCCTTTATCATGAAAGAATCTGCATCTGTGGCAAAACAGCCATAGAGGACATAATGCATATTTTGTTTGATTGTTGTTTATATGCCAAGGTAAGATCTCAGTATTCATAACTGCTTCTGGTTTGGAAAACCAACTGGGATCCAAATGCCAAACTGTCCTATTTTTTTCTGGGGAGAATCTAGAAATGTATTATAAGAGCTGCCCATCTGAGAGATTTCTTTCTCTCACAAATGGGGTCTCTGGTCATGGCAAAGAAATTCCTCAAAATCATTATGTAATTTAATTTAATCCAAATTTACCAAATAATTACTTGAACAAGGGATTTGTGTTTATTATGTCTTTGTATACTTGTCTTTTGTCTTTTACTGTTGATATGGTCTATCTATTACTTGATATGATCTATCTATTACTTTGAAAGAGACTTAGCAATAACCCAGAAATAGGAATCAGTCATGAAATTTAGGAAAAAACAGAAAACTTTTTTCAAACCATTGTCTTTATTAGAAAATAAGTAAATTGCATGTACAAATATGACTTGAATAAAGAAATACCAACAACAAAACAAAAAAGCAGTTGAAATTGCTGGTCTTTCCCTCACCCACTCTTTCATCTGGGATTTCCATCACTTCCAGTGTTTCTTGAGTGGCTGCAGACGACGGAAAAAGAGCTCACTATATTGATGTATTATTTTCATGAAAGAGAAAACACTGCAAGACACTGTTTAACTGGGCATGTTTAGCCTGAAGAAGAGAAGGCTGAGAGGAGATATGATATGAGGGAAAATCATAGGGAGGAGAGAGCAAGCTTGTTTTCTGCTTCCTTGGAGACTAGGATGCGGAACAATGGCTTCAAACTACAAGAGAGGAGATTCCATCTGAACATGAGGAAGAACTTCCTGACTGTGAGAGCCGTTCAGCAGTGGAACTCTCTGCCCCGGAGTGTGGTGGAGGCTCCTTCTTTGGAAGCTTTTAAGCAGAGGCTGGATGGCCATTTGTCAGGGGTGATTTGAATTCAATATTCCTGCTTCTTGGCAGGGGGTTGGACTGGATGGCCCATGAGGTCTCTTCCAACTCTTTGATTCTATGATTCTATGATTCTATGAGACTGAAAGATCTCAGAAGCACGTTGCCATCTTTTGAGGACTTGGTTTGTCTTCATTCTGCAGAGTTCTCCAAGGATTTTTGGTACTTTAGGCAGAAAATAAGAAATAAGAAATATAATAAATAACCTCACAACCTCTGAGGATTGTGCTTGACCTCACAACCTCTGAGAAGGCCCGCCACAGATTCAGGTGAAACATCAGGAGAGAATGCTTCTAGAACGTACAGCCTGAAAAACCTACAACAACACATACGGCAAACATTCCATGCCAGGAAAAAGACATCTTAACAAATTGCATCAAAACAATACAAATCAAAGAAAACAGAACAGCCATTAGTATAAACTCACTACCAAATAGAAATTAACCAAAGAAATAAAAGTTGACAACCCTGACAAGCATATCATATAATACGAATTTACACAGGATAAAATTTAAATAATTAGACCCATGTTTGTAGGTAAGATGGTTCCCAACAGTTTACAGACTGAGAACAGTTCAGTAGCTAAAAAGATTTAATATATCTAAATTAAGTTACACATCGAGACATATTAGTCTTCCTCCTCTATGTACAACAAAGTGCAGAGATGTGTTTTAGAAACTTTTTAAAGGCAAGGAGTTTTTTGTTCTTTTGGGAGTTCCAGAGGTAGAGAGCGATCATGAAGAAGGTCTACTTTCTTGTTTCAAGAGTAAGGCCTTCTCCACCAATTGCAGCGCTCAAGCTGGTTTGTAAACTGAGATGTGGTTCTGCAAATAGTCTGGACCGGAACTGTTTAGGGCTCATTTGTGGTGGATGACACATTAAAGAAACAGGTCTGAACCATTAATTCATTGTGGCAGCCTCATCGAAATCAGAAAGATTCTCATATATACATCCAGATATCAATTGTCAATCAAAAAGGAAAACAGAAAGCATTTTCTAACCTTTCCTTTTCATTAGCTGCTCTCTTTTGTTCTGCTCAGGCCTAAAAAGTATAATATAGCATTTGGGGAAAAAGATAAAACCTAGTAACCCAGCACTGGAAGCCAAGATGGAGAAGATCTCCACAGCCACCATGTATTTGCCTTTGGTGGAAAGGTAGGTTGGAACAAAGGTTAGCCAGACACTGCAAAACAGCAACATGCTGAAGGTGATAAACTTGGCTTCATTAAAGCTGTCAGGTAACTTCCTTGCCAGGAAGGCCACCTTCAAGCTGATAATAGCCAGGAAGCCCATAAAACCCAGGACACAATAAAACATAATGTCAGACCCTTCGTTGCATTCCAATACACTATTCTGAGTATGTGATTCTGTGTCAGAGTCTGGAAATGGTGGTGAGGTTGCCAGCCACAATGTACAGATCATGGCTTGAGTAAGGGAGCATGAAAGGACAATGGATGTGGCCAGCCTTTTTCCCATCCATTTATTCATTGTGGATCCTGGCTTATTGGCCATAAAGGCTATCACAACTGTGGTGGTTTTAGCCAGCAAGCAAGAAATAACTACTGAGAAGACAATTCCAAAAGCTGTTTGTCGGAGGAGACAGGTCATCTTCTGAGGCCGGCCAATGAATAGCAGAGTGCAGAGGAAGGAGAGCAGGAGGGAGATGAGAAGGGTGTAGGAGAGCATCCGATTGTTCACTTTCACAATGGGTGTGTTGTGGTACTTCACAAAGATTGCTAACACCAAAGCAGTCATGAAAGAGAGGGCAATGGCAGAAGTCGCCAAACCAATTCCCAAAGGTTCCTCATAAGACAAGAATGTTACAACCTTTCGAAGGCAAAGGTCATGGTCCTTGTTTGGATAATAGCCCTCTTGACACGGAAAACATCTGTCCACGTCTGGAAAAAATAAATGTGAACTCAGGCAAAAA